TTGTGTTTAATTTCCTAAGGTGCCCAATATAACGCGAGGTGTTAAAAGGGAAACTGAAAAGGAAATGTTGTAAAAGGGGAGAAAAGAACGAATTGGAAAGCAGATAAATTTTAGAGCAAAGTTGGAATGATATGAAAATGGTAGGAATACGGATCGGATGTAAAAAAAACAAAAAAAAATAGGATTGAAAGAAAGAGCCAAAAATGCTAATGTGGAAATTGGAAGGGAAAGAAGAAGAAGAAGAAGAAAAAGAAGAAGAAGAAGAAGAAGAAGAAGAAGAAGAAGGATTTTCGATCACAGAATATTTATAAGAAGAACGAAAAAAAAAATGGAGTTAATTTTCAAAGAAAATGGAGGTATTACAAAGAAGAAATAGAAAGCCTAAAATGTTGAATTAATAAAGAGGAAACTAGAAGAGGAAGAATTAAATGAATGAAAGGGTATGGAATGGATTCGTGAAAAAAGAAGGAGGAGGAGGAGGAAGAAAAGAAAAATCCAAGAAGAAAAGAAAAAACGGAGAAGTCGGAAGGAGGAGGAGAAGAAGAAGAAGAAGAAGGAGAAGGAGAAGGAGGAGGGGAGGAGGAGAAGAAAAGAAAAAGACGGAGAAGTCAGAAGAAGAGGAAGAAGAAAAAATGTTGAATTGATAACAAGGAAAATAGAAGGAAATAAATAAAATGAATGAAAATGTTTGGAAAGGATTCGTGAAGGAAGAGGAAGAGGAGGAGGAGGAAAGTCGAAAGACGGAGAAAAGGAGGGAGTCGGAAGAAGAAGAAGAAAAGAAAAAGACGGAGAAGTCAGAAGAAGAGGAAGAAGAAAAATGTTGAATTGATAACAAGGAAAATAGAAGGGAAATAAATAAAATGAATGAAAATGTTTGGAAAGGATTCGTGAAGGAAGAGTGTTGTGTATGATACACCTAATTTACATAAGTGGAGTACCGACCATATAAATATGGGTTGGTACCGGAAGACGACGGAAGATTAAGAGATCGAATCCAGAGACTCTGCCCGACTGCGACTTAGTCAACCCATTCTGCAGGAACAGTCTTCCCAAGAATATACCAAAACTACCTGTAAATATTGTGTACCTTTTTTCATTGTTTCAATACATTTTGTTACGTACATTTTGTGTTGTATTATTATTATTCCATGCTTATTCAAGCTTCAACAAAGAGGGAGGAGGAGGAGGAGAAAGGTCGAAGAAGAAGAAAAGAAAAAAGCCGAAGAAGAAGAAGACGGAGAAGAAGGAGTAGTCGGAAGAAGAAGAAGAAAAGAAAAAGACGGTGAAGTCGGAAGAAGAAGAAGAAGGAGAAGAAGAAGAAGAAGAAGAAGTCGGAAGAAAAAGGAGGAGGAGGAGGGGGAGAAAAGAAAAAGACGGAGAAGGAAGAAGAGGAAGAAGAAGAAGAAGAAGTCGGAAGAAGAAGAAGAAGAAGAAGAAGGAGGAGGAGGAGGAGAAGAAAAGAAAGACGGAGAAGTTGGAAGAAGAAGAAGAAGAAGGAGGAGAAGGAGGAGGAGGGGAGGAGGAGAAGAAAAGAAAAAGACGGAGAAGTCAGAAGAAGAGGAAGAAGAAAAATGTTGAATTGATAACAAGGAAAATAGAAGGGAAATAAATAAAATGAATGAAAATGTTTGGAAAGGATTCGTGAAGGAAGAGGGAAGAGGAGGAGGAGAAAAGTCGAAGAAGACGGAGAAGGAGGAGAAGTCGGAAGAAGAAGAAGAAAAGAAAAAGACGGTGAAGTAAGAAGAAGAAGAAGAAGAAGAAGAAAAGTAAAAGATGGAGAAGTCAGAAGAAGAAGAAGAAGAAATGTAAAAGATGGAGAAGTTGGAAGGAGAAGAAGAAGAAGAAGAAGAAGAAGAAGAAAAAAAAAGACGAAGTCAGAAGAAGAAGAAGAAAAAGAAGAAGAAGGAGAAGAAGAAAAGTAAAAGATGGAGAAGTCGGAAGAAGAAGAAGAAGAAGAAGAAGAAAAGAAAAAGACGGAGAAGTCGGAAGAAGAAGAAGATGGAGAAGTCGGAAGAAGAAGAAGAAGAAGACGGAGAAGTCGGAAGAAGAAAAAGAAGAAGAAAAGAAAAAGACGGAGAAGTCAGAAGAAGAAGAACAAGAACAAGAAGAAGAAGAAGAAGAAGAAGAAGAAGAAATGTTAAATTACTAAGAATGGACGTAGAAGAAAAAGTAGGCGAACAAATCTAGAGACAGAGTAATAGACAAAAGAAAGAAAGAAAGAAACAAACAAAACAAAAACATACAAACAATCAAAAGAAGGAAAGAAAAAAGAAAAAGAACAGCAAAGAAAAAAAGTAGGAAAGAAAAGAATCAGATTCGTTTTGTCGATAATTTTTTCGATGTAGAAGAATCGTTATCATATTCTTCGCTAAATTTGTTGTTATATTTCCTGAAGATGATCAGGGAGTAAAACGGCTGAAACGTTATGCGTTATTAAAGCCATGCTTCTGTGAACAGATACTCATATGCAAAAACACTCATGAAGAATCTGGAAGGTAAAGACATGTGAAAGACAGATAGACAGAGAGGGTAAGACCTCCGAGTCTATCTGAGTCGTGATACAGTCTTCGACTGTAAGCGACGTCTGTCGAACTCTCTGCGTTAGCAGAGAGGATCCCAGACGAAGCTTTGCCGAATGGCAAGGTTTCGTCCGGGGAGGTAGACAGGGCCTGAACCCGTCTAGGCGGATTCAAAGGCTATATTTTTGGTCGAGCCTACGGGCGCGGAGATACCCACATTAAACCAGCCTTGTGCCACATTCAATCCTCGAGGGTGGATCGATAAATACTAAGACATGTGAAAGAACGAAGGAACAGATTTGGAATTGGGGGGGAGGGGTAGAAAGAAAAGGAGTGATCAGGGACACACACAGAGAAACAAAGGCAAAGATAGATATGTAGATAGCGAGAGAGTAGACGAATAGGAACGAACCAATAATAAAAAAAGTATTAAGAAGTTTGTTTAAGAAAGGAATAAAAAAAAATTGAGATATCATACTTATTATAAAACCCAGGTTGTGTGTGTGTGTGTGTGTGTGTGTGTGTGTGTGTGTGTGTGTGTGTGTGTGTGTCTGTGTCGTTTATATATTGGATCGGATTCCACATTTTTCAACCGATTTCAACAAAAACTTCACAGGACTACGTAAAATTACCTCGCGGTGGTTCTGGCAGCGCCAAAAAATTGGAAAAACACAATTGTTTTTGCACGAAATCAATTTGAAAACACGATTAAGAGGCATTAATGAAAGGGGGACAACTCATATCGAGTTATACTTATTAATATCGAGTTATCGAGTTATACTTATAAAACCCAGGTTGGTTTTGTGTGTGTGTGTGTGTGTGTGTGTGTGTGTGTTCGTTTACATATGGGATCGGATTTCCTACATTTTTCAACCGATTTCAACAAAACTTCACTTTTTTTTTTGGCAGGTAGTGTTTCTTATTGTCTTTCACACTTTTTTCTTTATTTTTTACATTCAGAATGCTTTAAAAATTCCATTTACAAGACAATTGTTTATAATAAAATTCTATTCAATCGGTAGACTCATAACGATTGAAAACAATGTTTTTGTTTGACCAATTCGTAAAAAACAAAAAACCCCCAAAAAACTAATTAAGACATGCGTGTCCGTCAACCTTAAACAATAATCTTTGTCAATTTTATTTTTCAGTCTTTATGTTGGTCGATACTTGATCTATCTTTTACTGTTACATCCCCTGGCAACGCCGAACTCTACTGCTAGTATATATATATATATATATATATATATATATATATATATATATATATATATATGTCAGGGACGCATACAGACAAGAAAATAAAAAGAAAGGTACTTATGGAGAAAGCGAAAGAGAGAAAGAGTCACACATACGGAGAAACAAAAAGAAACATAGATAGGTAGAGAGCAAAACGAGAGAGAGCTAGATCAGGGACACATACAGAGAAACATAAAGAGGATACGAAGAAAGAGAGAGAGAGAGAAAAAGAGAGAGAGAGAAGGAAAGAAAGAGAGTTAGACAGGGAGTGTTAGAGAGAGAGAGAAAGAAAGAGAAAGATCAGGAACACTGAAAAACGAAAAGAAATATAGATAGGCAGAAAGCGAAAAAGAGAGACGTAGAGAGTTAGAGAGAGAGATACAAGGGATACGTATAGAGAAACAAACATAGATACGAAGAGAGAGAGAGAAAGAGTGTTAGACAGAGAGTGTTAGAGAGAGAGAGAGAGAGTGTCTGACCAGGAACACATAGAGAGAAACAAAAAGAAATATAGATAGGCAGAGAGCGAAAAAGAGAGAGGTAGAGTTTTAGGCATACCGAGATCAGAGATATATACAGAGAAACAAAGACAGATCTCTCTCTCTCTAACACTCTTTCTTACTTTCTCTCTCTGTAAGTAAGAAAGAGTGTTAGAGAGAGAGAGAGAGAGAGAGAGAGAGAGATAGAGAGATATAGAGATAGAGAGATCAGGAACACATAGAAACAAAAAGAAATATAGATAGGCAGAGAGCGAAAAAGAGAGAGGTAGAATGCTAGAGAGAGCGAAATCAGCGACATATACAGAGAAACATAAAGACAGATACGAAGAGAGAGAAAGTAAGAAAGAGTGTTAGAGAGAGAGAGAGAGAGAGACAGAGAGAAAGAGAGAGAGATCAGGAACACATAGGGAGAAACAAAAAGAAATATAGATAGGCAGAGAGCGAGAAAGAGAGAGGTAGAGTGCTAGAGAGAGCGAAATCAACGACATAAACAGAAGAGCATAAAGATAGATACGAAGAGAGAGGAAAGAAAGAAAGAGTGTTAGAGAGAGAGAGAGACAGAGAGAAAGAGAGTGAGAGAGAGAGAGAGAGAGATCAGGAACACATAGAGAGAAACAGAAAGAAATATAGATAGGCAGAGAGCGAAAAAGAGAGAGGTAGAATGCTAGAGAGAGCAAAATCAGTGACATATACAGAGGAACATAAAGATAGATACGAAGAGAGAGAAAAGAAAGAAAGAGTGTTAGAGAGAGAGAGAGAGAGTGAGAGAGAGAGTGAGAGAGAGATCAGGAACACATAGGGAGAAACAAAAAGAAATATAGATAGGCAGAGAGCGAAAAAGAGAGAGGTAGAATGCTAGAGAGAGCAAAATCAGTGACATATACAGAGAAACATAAAGGCAAATACGAGGAGAGAGAAAGAAAGAAAGAAAGAAAGAAAGAGTTAGAAAGAGAGAGGGGGGAGAGAGAGAGATCAGGAACACATAGAGAGAAACAAAAAGAAATATAGATAGGCAGAGAGCGAAAAAGAGAGAGGTAGAGTGTTACAGAGAGCGAGATCAGGGATATATACAGAGAAACATAAAGACAGATACGAAGAGAGAGAAAGTAAGAAAGAGTGTTAGAGAGAGAGAGGGGGGAGAGAGAGATATCAGGAACACATAGAAACAAAAATAAATATAGATAGTCAGAGAGCGAGAAAGAGAGAGGTAGAGTGCTAGAGAGAGCGAAATCAGCGACATATACAGAGGAGCATAAAGATAGATACAAAGAGAGAGGAAAGAAAGAAAGAGTGTTAGAGAGAGAGAGAGACAGAGAGAAAGAGAGACAGAGACAGAGAGAGAGAGATCAGGAACACATAGGGAGAAACAAAAAGAAATATAGATAGGCAGAGAGCGAAAAAGAGAGAGGTAGAATGCTAGAGAGAGCAAAATCAGTGACATATACAGAGATACATAAAGGCAAATACGAGGAGAGAGAAAGAAAGAAAGAGTGTTAGAGAGAGAGAGAGGGGGGAGAGAGAGAGGGGGGAGAGAGAGAGATCAGGAACACATAGAAACAAAAATAAATATAGATAGGCAGAGAGCGAGAAAGGGAGAGGTAGAGTGCTAGAGAGAGCGAAATCAGCGACATATCCAGAGAGAAGACAGATACGAAGAGAGAGAAAAGAAAGAAAGTGTGTTATAGAGAGAGAGAGTGAGAGAGAGAGAGAGTGAGAGAGAGAGAGCTTAGGGCCTTATACAAAGTAACAAAAAGAAATATAGATATGCAGAGAATGAAAATGAGAGAGGTAGAGTGTTACAGAGAGCGAGATCAGGGATATATACAGAGAAACATAAAGACAGATACGAAGAGAGAGAAAGAGAAAGAGAGAGAGAGAAAGAAAGAGTATTTAGAGAGTGTTAGAGAGAGAGAGAGAGAGAAAGAGAGAGCTTAGGGCTTTATACAGAGAAATAAAAAGAAATATAGATAGGCAGAGAGCGAAAAAGAAAGACTTACATTGTTAGAGAGAGCGTGATCAGACACAGAGAGAAATAACAGGAATATAGAAATGTAAAGATAGATAGAGATATAGAGAGAGGGGCGAGAAGAGAGAGGGAGTGAGATCAGAAAAAGAAGACGAAGAAGAGGAATACATCAATAAGACAAAAATACGTAGGACTTCATTCAAAGAAAATGTGAAAAAAATGAATTGATTGATTGTTTATTTACGGTTTTTCAAGGTTAGTTAAAACCAGAAAACGTTTTTAGATTGTTATATTTTTTTTAGAAGATAACGATTTACCAATACAGCTCTTCTAATTAACACAGTTTGGTAGAAAAGAGGTTATTTTATACCTTTTACGAAGGCTTTTGCGTATAACGAAGCCAACCGAAATTGGAACACGTGTGACGTCCCCCGACTTTCCCTTAGATAACCAATGGTTTGGTCTTTTGTTTTGGCAACCCCTGTGTGGTCAACGGACATTTTTGTTTCTCGGTCAGCGGATGACCTATTTAATTTTTATCTCTTTAAAATTCTGTGGGAGGTCTCAAATGGGCATTCCTGCGACACAGTTAAATGTTTATCTATTTAGAATTCTGTCTCTGAGGTTATTTGGCCAACCTGGAATTTCCACCGGCCCCGTAACCTAAATCAGATTAATTCCAGTATCTTCCTTTTTTACCTTCTCGGCAATGGGAAATAAAAATTTTACCACTTTTCCTTGTCAGAAAAATAACACCGCTTAGTGTCCTTTTCTTGATGGCTTCTTATCGCCTAATTTTAATTCTCGCCTTTCTTTTTTTTTTCTTTCCTTTTTCTTTTCTCTTTCTAGCAACCCTAAATGGTGTCACGCACGGCTCTCCGATTTAAAATTCCGGGCCTCTATTCCATTGCACCATCCGCACATCCGACCTTCCTTATCCTGATATTCCTAAATTAAACCGTTAATTTTAACCGTTTTGACACCGAATAGGTGAGAGCTAGATGATGCCAACCTGGTAGCTAGTTTAAAATCATGCGGTCTGGGAAACAGCGAAAGTAGGTCGTCGGAACTGTTACTCTGAAAATACTTGTAGAAGAGACGGAAGGAAACCACGGCACCTCTGTGGGTAAGCGATTGTAGACTAGATGCCAGATCAGGACCTATCACATTGCATATTCGTCTTTGGATTTTATTTTCTCATACGTGTTTGGTCGTTTCATATCCTACTGCTAACACCTAGGTATCTCCATACATTCTGTTCCAGGAATATCAGCTCTGTTCGGGAATATTAGCTCTGTTCGGGAATATCAATTCTGCCCTGGAATAATCATTCTGTTACGGAATATCAGTTCTGTTCTGAAATATCAGTACTCTTCAAGTATATCATTTCTGTTCTGGAGTATCAGTTCTTTCCAGGAATATCAGTTCTGTTCGAGAATCTCAATTTAGTTGTGAAATATCAGTTCTGTTCGGGAATATCAATTCTCTCCAGGAATATAAGCTCTGTTAGAAAATGCCAATTCTGTTCTGGAATATAAGTTCTGTTCTGGAAAATCATCTTGTTCGGAAATGTCAATTCAGGTTTTGAAAATCAATTCTATTCCGGAATATCCGTTCTGTTTGGAAATATTATTTCTGGTCGGGAATATCAGCTCAGTGTTTAAACCTGACTAATGCTTACCCATAGATTGATGTATAAACCCGCGTAATATTTACCTAAAGATGGAAGTATAAACTCTACCAATGTTAATCTATAGACTCAAATATAGCACAGACAAATATTTACCAACAGGTTCGGGTATAAACCCAACTAAACTTCAGCTATGGACTCAAGTGATTTCAATTTGGAAAAGCCCATGTCGTAAGCTCCAACAACGCAATCCGATTAATTGAGATCCGCTCGAAGAGAAGACATTATTTATTGATTATTTTATTAGCTTTTGTGTCATTTTAATTTGGCAGCTTGGTTTTCTTTTTTTTTTTTCTTTCTTTCTTTTTTTTCTTTTCTTTTCTTTTATTTTTTGAGGGTGTGAGGCAGTTTTCTTCATGACGTCTCCGACTATCAAGCAAGCCGGATCATTTCATATCCTACTGGGATTTTATGATTTGTTTTTGGATCCTTATTGCTTCTGGCATTTTGCAGGGGAGGGTGGCGTATCTTTAGGAATATGCTGGGGTCATTCCGAGGCATCTCCAAAAAAGGGGAAGTTCCGAAGGGGGCTTGAGCAATTTCGTCGCGGTATTGTCGTTAAACCCACTTTAAACTGACCTTGTGTCGTATTCCGTTGCGATATGGGAGCACTGAAAAATACACTTATTGCTTATGTGCAATTGCTGTAGAATGTAAATCGACCTGGAAATTGCGATGAAATGAAATAAAGAGAATTAACAAAGAACCTATTAAAAACAATAATACTCCATCGAAGTCGATTAGTTTTTGAGTAATACGTTCATAATAGTCAAAATACGAAAGTTGTAATAGTGATTGTATGCATGCGTGTTCCCGGGATACAGTTTAAACGATATATAATACCTGAACAAATTTAGGTGGTTATTCTACCTGGAAACCATGGCGAATGTAGTGACTAATTTGATTAAAATTAGACAAGTCTTTTTTTTTTCTGTTTTTACGGCAATTTTATTAGGAAATTCAGTATTTTGCTTTCAATACACATTCTTATATGAATCCGAATTTGTATCATGTGCCAATTATAAAATCCCAGTGGAGCAATAAACCTTCTCTTCCGTCTTTAAATACAAATTAATATGTGCTATCTTCTATATGAATATACGCGAAATATGGAACTTAATTCTACTACAAATCCTGGGTTCAAAACGCCCTAACTCTACTTTATAGCAATTTAACACACCAGGTATTTACAGACAGAGATGCCACTGAGAGATGATAAATAGATGTGTTACAAACTACTCGAGTGAGCAGTTTACACGCTAGGTATTTACTCTGTCTCCCACTAAGACGAGATGTGACAAAAGGTCAGTTTTTAAAGTGGGGACCCGAGTTCGTACAGCCGTCCTAGGAACCAAAATTACCCGAATACCCTGCAATCGTCGGTTGCGCTAGCCTCGGTGCGAGCAACGACCCTTCTGTCTAGTGCAATGAGAGGGCGCAACTCTATTTCCCAAGGCAGAGCCCCTCTCGGTATAATTTCCCTTTGTTGCGACTCTGTCCTTTGACGGTGCGGACATTGAGAGCACTCTACCCAAAGACAGAGGCGCAAATTTGTATTTACTCAAGGTCGGTCTAATGTGGGGAGCCCGAGCACGTATACCCGGGCTAGGAACAAAAATTGCCCGCAGACCATACAACCGTCGGTTGCGCTGGCCTCGGTGCGACCACCGATCCTTCTCTCTAGTGCAACGAGAGGGCGCGGCCTCAGGCAGCTGTTCCCCAGGGATGAGCACCTCAGTATATTTTTTCTTCTGTTGCGACTCTGTCTTTCGACGTAGCCGATCTTTTGCGCACTCTACCCAAAGATAGAGACACGACTGGGATTTGATAAATAATGCATTAAAAAATACTCGAGAGAGCAATTTATTATTTCCTTCTTATGTAACTTTTCAGCATTAAATAATTTGCATATTGATTTTTAAAAAAAGCACATTTAATTAATTAACTGTCCTTAATTACTGTTCTTTTATTCGAGTATTGTTTTGATTTTCATATCAAAAATTAATTATGTTTAGCAATATTGTCTTATATAGTGCAGAAAAGTGTTTGAAATTGGCATTTTACTTGGAATTCCACAAGTTGGCATCTATTTGTAAAACTTTCCTTAACTATAACAAGCCTGCCCCCACACCGCCGAATTAGTTTCTTCTGTCATTACAGCCATATTCTTTGAAAAAATATATTGAACGTCCACAATACTTCAACGTTTTATAAAGCGTGAACATTAATCCAATAGAAAAAAAAACAATTAATTTTTCCTCGAAAAATTACCAGGTTATTTTTCCAATAAACGATTGCAATTTCCAGTCATAATAAGTTTTGTAATGACTATTAATGAATCTCAAAGTCAATCAATGAAAGTTACTGGACTTTACCTTATGCAGCCCTGCTTTTCTCATGGTCAATTATATGTTTTTCTATATTTCTGAGGTGATGTATTATGTACACTATTTACATTATTCAGACTAATGTCCTCATCTTTGTCGCCATATTTATTACATCGTTTCGGACCTTCAGTATCTGTCTATATTTCTGAGATGAGGTATTGTGTACATTATTTACATTATTCGGACTATTGTCCTCATCTTTGTCTCCATATTTATTACAACGTTTCGGCACTTCAGTCTATATTTCTGATGAGGTATGTCTATATTTACATTATTCAGAGATCATCTTTGTCGCCATATTTATTACAACGTTTCGGTCCTTCAGTATCTGTCTATTTTCTGAGATGAGGTTTTATTTACATTATTCAGACTATTGTCCTCATCTTTGTCGCCATATTTATTACATCGTTTCGGACCTTCAGTATCTGTCTATATTTCTGAGATGAGGTATTGTGTACATTATTTACATTATTCGGACTATTGTCCTCATCTTTGTCGCCATATTTATTACAACGTTTCGGCACTTCAGTATCTGTCTATATTTCTGAGATGAGGTATTATGTACATTATTTACATTATTCAGACTACTGACCTCATCTTTGTCGCCATATTTATTACAACGTTTCGGTCCTTCAGTATCTGTCTATATTTCTGAGATGAAGTATTATGTACATTATTTACATTATTCGGACTATTGTCCTCATCTTTGTCGCCATATTTATTACAACGTTTCGGCACTTCAGTATCTGTCTATATTTCTCAGATGAGGTATTATGTACATTATTTACATTAGTCGGACTATTATCCTCATCTTTGTCGCCATATTTATTACAACGTTTCGGCCTTTCAGTATCTGTCTATATTTGAGATGATAGAGCGGTATTGTACACTATTTACATTATTCGGACTATTGTTTCATTTTCATTTATTAAAATATTTTGCCATTGTAGGCCCGTCTTCCAACCACCTGAAGAAGGCCGGAGCGTTTGGCCGAAACGTTGTAATAAATATGGCGACAAAGATGAGGGCAATAGTCCGAATAATGTAAATAGTGTACAATTATATGTTCCATGTTCATGTGTTGGAAATGGAA